GGCAGCAAGGCTGGGAAATCCCAACACCCAAAGCCTCTTGCTAGCCAGACTAGGCACCACTGGGCCATACAGACCAATCAGTCTGCCCATCCCCATATGCTCCACAAAGTTAGGAAGAGGGGAGAAATTAACTGTTCCTGTAATTAAAATAGTTATGAAAGGGGTTATAAAGTTTGAAGAATCCTCGTATTTATAGTTTGCTGCTTTATAGGCAACCAGCCACTTTTCTCCTCTTGTTGATGCCTAATAAAACGTCAACATGGTTAGCTTAGCGCTAGATCTGAGGGCTAAATGTATGCTGCATTTGAAATCAGATGATAAATCTTTTTCAGAAGCCGAAAAATAAATGACAACCTCGGGTTTACAACAGCTGCTGTGGTTGAATAAACCATGAACTTTATATTGTCAGGCAAGTATCTCAGGCAAAGCTCTAGGCACATCTCAAAGATGTAGGATATTAAAAAATAATTCGGTTTTTATTAGCCATGGCTTACTGCTGAATAAATTAAAAGAAACTTTTGATGGATAGTGTTATTGGTGTTTTGCTGTAGTTTAAAAATGCACCCTGTGCTACCATGTGATTGATAGATTTGGTTGCTACAAGGTTTCCTTCTATTTCAAAGTGTTGGCAAAAGTCCTGTTTGTCCTGTTTAAAATGATTAAGCCAAGTCTAGTTTCTCAGCATCTTGTTAGATACCCAGCATCCCTTACTCCCAGGTAGGGGACTGGGTGGCGCTGTGGTCTAAACCACTGAGCCTCTTGGACTTGCCGATCGGAAGGTCAGCGGTTCGAATCCCTGTGATTCCTGTTTCTCTGTCCCAGCTCCTACCAACTTAGCAGTTTGAAAGCACGCCAGTGCAAGTAGATAAATAGGTACCACTGTAAATGGTGTTTCCTTGCACTCTGGTTTCCGTCATGGTGTTCCGTTGCGCCAGAAGCGGTTTAGTCCTGCTGGCCACACGACACAGAAAGCTGTCTGCAGACAAACGCCGGCTTCCTCGGCCTGAAAGTGAAAGGAATGCCACAACCCCATAGTCACCTTTGACTGGACTTAACTGTCCAGGGATCCTTTACCTTTACCTTTTTCTACTCCCAGGTAATTGTGCATAGTACTGCAGCCTTATTTTATTGAGGGTATAATAAGGTAAACCCCATCTCCTAAAGTTTAGGAGTGAGGGTTTCAAAACCATTTCTGGCCCTCTTTCTCATACTAGACTATCATGAAGCCTGATGGCACTAAGACTGAGAAGCTGGTGAAATTTGTGGTGAGTATTGGGGTCTTCTATATTTAGTGCTTGGCAACGTTGTGAAGGTGTCACTTCTATAAACAGGCCTCCCTGGACACTTGCCGCAGCACGTTTGCCCCAAAGGTCCCTGACTTAACTCTCTTTGTGATCAAATACCTTGTGAGCATAATTTCAGGCATCACCAGCAGATTCTGGACCACTCAGTCTTCAGGGCACTATTACCATGGACTCCACAGTGGAAGCAGAAGGACTGCCAAACTTTGCTGTTTCCCAATGCTGCCATTGCATCTTAAGGAGAAGACATCATTAGGAGGAAAAGGGGCTGGGAGAAATGGATGTTCATACAATCTCTGCCCTTTCTTCTTACTGAGAGATAAAATTTAGATGCAAATAATGTTGTGATTTGGTTTTCCTTGCTAACCAAGTTGAAGAGTGCACAGCAGTCCTTCTTAAGGAGAGTATGTTCCTTACACTGGGAGAATTTCCTTTCCTTTAAGAATCATAGAATCATAGAGTTGGAAGAGACCACAAGGGCCATCGAGTCCAACCCCCTGCCAAGCAGGAAACACCATCAGAGCACTCCTGACATATGGTTGTCAAGCCTCTGCTTAAAGACCTCCAAAGAAGGAGACTCCACCACACTCCTTGGCAGCAAATTCCACTGTCGAACAGCTCTTACTGTCAGGAAGTTCTTCCTAATGTTTAGGTGGAATCTTCTTTCTTGTAGTTTGGATCCATTACTCCGTGTCCGCTTCTCTGGAGCAGCAGAAAACAACCTTTCTCCCTCCTCTATGTGACATCCTTTTATATATTTGAACATGGCTATCATATCACCCCTTAACCTCCTCTTCTCCAGGCTAAACATGCCCAGCTCCCTTAGCCGTTCCTCATAAGGCATCGTTTCCAGTCCTTTGACCATTTTGGTTGCCCTCCTCTGGACACGTTCCAGTTTGTCAGTGTCCTTCTTGAACTGTGGTGCCCAGAAGTACTGCAACATCTCTTCAAAAGGAAGTGTTGGAATATAATCTACTTCATTGTAGAACCAATCTTTCACACATGCTACTGACTATCACTAGTAGTATCCTGAAGTTCACATATAAGATTTCCGGGAGTTGGTTGTATTAACTATTGTTTATCTGCAGAAGATAGAAGTCATGCTTATGGTATAGTCTAATACTAACACCAAGCAGATTGGTCTCAAGAGGAGATGGAAGCTCTTACAGAAATGGCAACTGAGCATTCTCAGTACAACTTTCAGAGTACAACTCAAAGTACAGTTTATCAAAGGCAACAGTTCTGCACAGTTGTGATAGAAATAGTGAGGAAGGACAGCATCATTTCACTCATCATAGACAATGTTACAAAGTAGCATGCATATGACCTAAAGCAGGGGTGGCTAACCTGTGGTCTCCAGATGTCGTGGGACTCCATCTTCCATCATCCCTGACTATTGGTCATGCTGGATGGCAATGATGGAAATTGGAGCCTTCACTATTGTCCAGTCGGTGGAGCATGAGACTCTTAATCTCAGGATTGTGGGCTTGAGCCCCACATTGGGCAAATAGATTGCTGAATTGCAGGGGCTTTCATGGTTCCTCCCAACTTTACAATTCTATTATTCTAACATCTGGAGGGCTACAGGTTAGCCATCTCTTGCCTAAAAGTTGGAATTTACAAAATAATTGCTGAAGTACCATATTGTTGTTGTTCTTTAGTTGTTTAGTTGTGTCCAACTCTTCATGACCCCATGGACCAGAGCACGCCAGGCACTCCTGTCTTCCACTGCCTCCCGCAGTTTGGTCAAACTCATGTTTGTAGCTTCGAGAACACTGTCCAACCATCTCGTCCTCTGTCATCCCCTTCTCCTTGTGCCTTCCATCTTTCCCAACCTCGGGGTCTTTCCCAGGGAGTCTTCTCTTCTCATGAGGTGGCCAAAGTATTGGAGCCTCAGCTTCAGGATCTGTCCTTCCAGTGAGCACTCAGGGCTGATTTCCTTAAGAATGGATAGGTTTGATCTTCTTGCAGTCCATGGGACTCTCAAGAGTCTCCTCCAGACCATAATTCAAAAGCATTTACTGAATATTAGCTCGACCCATATTTGTGTGTATGTGTGTGTTTTAGGAAAAAACTTGGGTCACAGAGCACATATTAGTTTACTGATCTTTTTTGTAGCACGCTTGACCTGAAATCCTATCCTGGCCTGGCATTCCCAGCGTATTTTTAAATTTGAGTGTGTTCTGTACCATGTAGACTTGGTAATGTGGATCAATTGGAACTGATCTGTATGAATGCTAACTTAGCCAGCTGGCCTTGTCTTCATATGGCATTCTCCTATGACTTTCCTTGGCTTTTTGCTTGAATTTTGATGAAGATTAATATAATGCTTCTAATTTATTTTTAATGTATCCAATGGTGAATCAATTATGCATGGGAGCCATCATAGAATTGGTAAGCAATATTAGCTGCATAACAAGACTATTTCCAATTCAAAAAAGCACAATTTAATTAATAAGGAAAAAAAAAGTCATGTTACACATTGATCAGACAAGATTTTTGATTAACAGAAGAGCTACATGTCGTCAGGATGCAGCCAGGAAACCTCATGGGCTCTATCCTCACTTTCCAGAAAAATAATTAGTTTTCAAGCTAAAATTTTCCCTGGTTGGTTTAATTAAAAATAGAAACAGGCAAATACTCAACAGCAGTAAATGGATGCCAATGAGTTATCTGCAGATCTAGAGATCCTTCAACTCGAGGAATATTAAAACAAATTTGCAGTGTTCAGACTTATTTCTTTTCCTTGTTAACTTAATTTTGCATGCATGTGGTTGTGAGATACAGGGCGCTTCCATTAATCCTGATTTGTTTGCTGGGAGATTTGGCAATGTTGGCTATTTAATGAACATACATTCTGATTTGTTTGCAGGGCATTGAAGAACATAAGATGAGCCCTGCTGTATTGGGCCAATGGCACATCTTTTCCAGCATCCTGTTCTCACAGTGACCAATAGAGGCCTCTGGAAAGCCCACAAGGTAAGGTAAAGGATGCCTAGATGGTTAAGACAAGTCAAAGGCGACTATGGGGTTGCGGTACTCATCTTGCTTTCAGGCTGAGAGAGCCGGTGTTTGTCCGCAGACAGCTTTCCATGTCATGTGGCCAGCAGGACTAAACCACTTCTGGCGCACGGAGCACCATGACGAGTGCCAGAGTGCAGCTCTACTCCCCAGCAGTGAAGGGGTTAACACTCATCATATCTATTAAAGGTAAAGGAACCCCTGACCGTTAGGTCCAGTCGTGGCCGACTCTGGGGTTGCGGCGCTCATCTCGCTTTACTGGCCAAGGGAGCCGGCGTCCAGCTTCTGGGTTATGTGGCCAGCAGGACTAAGCCGCTTTTGGCGAACCAGAGCAGAAATGCCGTTTACCTTCCCGCCAGAGCGGTACCTATTTATCTACTTGCACTTTGATGTGCTTTCGAACTACTAGGTTGGCAGGAGCAGGGACTGAGCAATGGGAGCTGACCCTATTGCGGGGATTCGAACCGCCGACCTTCTGATCGTCAAGTCCTAGGCTCTGTGGTTTAACCCACAGTGCCACCCACGTCCCCATCATATCTATTAACTGCTGGTTAATAAACTGACTGATTGATCATATTGATTATGTGAGTACAAAATTAAGTATAATAATAAAATGTAATAGCGGTTACATGGCTGGGGTAGGGAGGGAGCACTGAGAATAGATATATATTTCAGAAACCTCATGAAAATACCACCCTGCCTGTAATGATGATTTTAGAACCAGGTGATGGAAGTCGCACACTAAAATATCTGGAGGGCACCAGGTTGGGGAAGAGTGGCTTATAACAATGCAAAAGACGACTAAGGGAGAGGATGCCAAGGAAAGAGGATCACTTCAGGGAAAGAAGAACTAGAAAGAACGAAGGTATCAAGGGTACTATGTGAACAAATGCAATAACTCATGCATAAGTTATTTACTAATATCCTTTTTTTATACTTTGAGTTAGCTTTGAGGACAGAGATAACATGCATCACCCAAAAGAAGAAGGGTTCTGTTAACTACTACGTCAATCTGTCTAATTGGTAGCATAATTAACCATATTCTGTAACAGCTCCATATTGTAGGCATAATTTAATGGAATTTAAAAGTCATGTTTATTTTGCAAACCCAGATATAACAAACTGCACGACTCAGATCTACTTTGCTTATTAAATGAATTTAATTAAAATCAAACTTTCATCAACAGCTCAGAGGAAAATATTTAATCTTCGGCACTCTTGCAGTGAAACAAGGATCTCCAGAAGAACTCAAATAGCAGCAGTATTTGAAAAGGAGATTATATATGTAGTAAATATGTTCAAACCGTGTAAGTGTCTTCTATTTGGAGTTGTGTCAAAGAGGGAGAAAAAAACCAGGTGCTGATTATACAAATAAGATAGTATATCATATTGGCAGATTCCCCAAAGGTTTGCCCTTGGAACACTCCAAATGAGGAAATGATAGATGTATTATCTTTCAGGATGTCTGGAATTGGATATCTGAAGGGTCTCAGACAGGGACAATCTTGCTCCGGCTAAAGCAGGGCACTCCAAGGACATTAACCAATAATGAGCACTCACACTTTACATTGTGGGTGCCCTTTGCGGGATCGCGTTTCGTGCTACAGTTCCCAGGGATCTTACTAGCAAACAGGGACTGGCTTGCCTCTCAGGGTTAATTTTTGGAGGGTCACACCCAGCCTCAGTAATCAAGTTTCTTGCTGGGAGGTGGGGCCAGCCCCATTTATAAATAGGGGGTGGAGCCGACAATAGCCAGGGAGTCGGAATCGGAAATTCACCCTCTCTACCTTCCCTCTGGTTAATGTTTTCTTGTTTGCAGGTTAACTTTTTATTCCTGTTTAGCGGGCGCTGCTACAGTCTTTTACTGGTTGCGATTGAAGGACCAGGAAGAAATTTTTCTGCATTGGCAGGTTTTGTCTTCCCCGTAGCAACTCGTTACAACTTTGGTGGTTATGGCCTTGGACGTAACCCTTTAGTCTTTTCTTCCCTATATGGGGAGGGGGGGCGTGAAGTGGTGACTCACCCCCCTGCGGTGGCGATTCCAGGGTCCCCTCTTAAAAGGGGTTATATATAATGGGTGTCACTGGCTGTGACGATTAACATATGAGAGAGTGCTGGAGGTGAAATTGTTAAACAGGTTGCCCAGTTAGGACCCAGGGGGGTGGAGTCAGAGGGACTATAAAATCAGCTCTGGGGGAGTTCGTTGAGGAGTTTGTTGGGAGTTGGGCGGTTGGTTGGAGTGGGAATGAATTGGGCTAGAGTTGTGGGTAGGTTGAGATAATGTAACGAAATAGGCTGAGTCAGGAACAGTTAGGGACTAGGCAGACAAGTAAATATCTGAGAGGTGGTTTAGTGAGTGACAGCAGGTAGCGGGAGTTATAGGTCTGGATAGGCACCCCATGAATGTAATTGACTGATACTGTTTATGAAACCACACGCTTGTTAAACTGCAATAAATAAACAAAAGTTTATGTTTCAATTTAACCCTGACTGGACTCAGTATTGTCCCAGGTAGGGCCTGGGTGGTGGCAGCGAGAAATAAAGTGGTGGCACAGGGATCAATAGATGGTGAAACGTCCAGGGACCCTGTGTGATAGCCTCACTAGCCATACACTAAAAGGTTGTCAGTGAGGGGGCTAGGGCTTTCTCCGCCTGGTCATGCAATGCCTCCTTATGCTACTTGAGGGATATTTACAGTGCAGCCAAATCAACAGTGCATGTTTGCTAGATAGGCACATAATAGGAGCTGAAGCTCACAGAGTTTTCCTGAACAAAGCTGCCGACAGGAGTGCCATCTCGCCCCAGGATTGTGGGCGCCCCCTGCTGCAATGTGGATGTACGGCACACCCTTTTTCGTGGGGAGGGGCGTGGGCTTGGAGGCAGAGATACTCCGCTTCTGTCTTATCCCCCCCCCCAAAAAAAGGGTGCGTTGCTGGCTGGCTGTGGAGGACAGAGCTGAACTGCCTCTCTCACTGTGGCTGCAACAGTTCAGCTCTGTTCCCCACAGACAGAGAGACACTCTTTTCTGTGGGGAGGGGCTCAGACTCAGAGGCAGAGAGACTCTGTCTCTGTGTCCGAGTCCCCCCTGCCCAGAAAGGGTGCCTCGCCACCTTCAACATATGTGGTGGAAGTGTAAGGAAGTAAAAGAATTTTGGGAAATGATATATAATGAGGTGAAAAAAATGTTTAAAATAACCTTTTCTAACCCTGCCCCCCAGCCTTCCTTTTAGGAATTCTAGGTGCCCAAGAGTAGAAAAGACTATTTATGTAAGCGACCACGGCTGTGCGGATGTTATTGGCCAGGGATGGAAAGAAGATAAGTCCCTACCAGAGAGGAACGGCAGATCAAGTTGATGGATTATGCTGAAATGGCTAAAATGGCCAGAAGAATCAGAAATCAGGAAGACCAAAATTTTAACAAGGAACAGAGGAAATTTATAATTTATCTTAAAAACTATTGTAAGCAGTTGAAATCATTAGTAGGATTGGAATTACACTTGTAGTTTAATGGTGAATTGTGGACACAATGGAGAGGTAAAAGATTTGGATGCAGGAGGAAATGATTAACAATAGGACCCACAAAGGGGAGGAGGGAAGAGGGAATCTTGTTTCTATGTTGTATGTTGGATATGTGACTGTAAAATTTTAATCTGAAAAACCGAATAAATCATTTTTTAAAAAAGTGTGCCTCGCTGGCTGGCTGTGGAGGGCGGAACTGAACATCTTCTCTCTTGGAGGCAGCGCCACTGCCACCTGCCGGCTTTTCTCATTGACTTTGTGGGTGCCCACCCCCCATAATTATATTATTGTGGGTGCCCAAGCACCCATGGCCCCCTGGTCTTGGCTCCTATGGCTGCTGTATCTGTTATTCCGCAACAGATTCTCCGAGTGAGTAAATGTTATTTTTGCCTTTTACAAGACTCTTTGTGTGGTTATCGTTTTAAGGGGAAGAAAAGGGGGGAATACCAGGAGAACCCAGTCTTCCTTAAAGCATCCTGGATTACTAAACCAAAACGAAAACCAGCATACCTAAGCTTCCTTTTAAGCTGCAAAGGGACAGCACTCTGCTGAACTCACAAATGTGAGGAAGGAAGGAAGGAAGGAAGGAAGGAAGGAAAGATAATACAGTGGTATCTTGGTTCCCAAACTCAATCTGTTCTGGAAGTCTGCTCAAATTCCAAAACATTCGCAAACCAAGGTGCGGCTTCTGATTGGCTGATTGGCCCCAGAAACAATGCCGACAGCCGAAATGGCCGTTTGGCTTCCAAAAAACGTTAACAAACCAGAACACTTGCGGTACTTCTGGTTTTGTGTCATTCAGGAGCCAATTTTTTCAGGAGCCAAACCGTTCAGGAACCAAGGTACTACTGTATCTAATAAATATATCCCAGCCTAGCATCTATACACAACCCAACACCACTGAAAGGACAAAGCAGGTCAGATGATACTTCCTATAAAGACTTTCACATAAGGCTCATACTCTGGCTCCAAGCAACAAGAGATCAGCTCTTGCTGGCTACCAATTTCCTCGACCTCCAGTTGCATGGGAGCTGGTGATCACTAGATGACTAGTATACCAGGAACCAAATGCATTGCATGTCCAAACCCTACTTGCTGCCCCAAGGATTTCCCTTGACATCCCACTTCAGTTGATGAAGCATCCTGGCTTGGCATTATGACCATCCACTCTCACGTCTGTTAGGTTGTCAGGAAATGGGCCGCAATTTGGATGGTTCAGAAGGAGCAGGGTCCACGAAAAGGGAATGTGGGGCTTTCCTTTAAGTTGACGAGGGTTTTCTTCTCTCTGCCCTGACAAAGAGGGCCTTAAAAGTGCTTTCCCACTAGCAGAAGACAGCATCACCCCAGCACGAATCCTGGCCATGGTAGCTCATGAACAGATCAACGTCTCCAAGAAAGGTTCTCCACCCCCATAGTTCTGCCCGGACACTGAGGTCCAACGCCGAGGGCCTTCTGGCGGTTCCCTCGCTGCGAGAAGCCAAGTTACAGGGAACCAGGCAGAGGGCCTTCTCGGTAGTGGCACCCACCCTGTGGAACGCCCTCCCACCAGATGTCAAAGAGAAAAATAACTACCAAACTTTTAGAAGACATCTGAAGGCAGCCCTATTTAGGGAAGCTTTTAATGTTTAATAGGTTATTGTATTTTAGTGTTTTGTTGGAAGCCGCCCAGAGTGGCTGGGGAAACCTAGCCAGATGGGAGGGGTGTAAATAATAAATTATTATTATTATTATTATTAATCACTGCACACCTCTTTTCTCCACACTGGTCTGCAATGTGTTTCTAAGACTCAGCTGAATATCCCCATCTAAAAATATCTGGCTCAAATGGAGCAGTGGGCTCTTGTTTTGGAGGAGGGCAACTGCAACATCAATTTTGCTGGTTTATACTGATAATTTGGACTGCTTACCTTGTGGTGATTCTCCCTGTGTCCTTCAGAAAGATTTATGCCACATCCCTAACTTAAGGCATACTTTTCCTACAGTTCCTAGAACGTTTAGATGTACATAATTTAGATAAAAATGGGGGTATTATATTCCACCCATGCCTAGTATGATCGTTATGAATTGCTGTTTTGATTATTATAGCCACAGGCTATCTTCCTCTTCTGTTTATACTTAAGTAAGTCACACGTCTTTAAACATTGGTATTTCACAATGTATCTGTTAGATTTTAATAATTTTCGTATTGATAAACCTGGAAAATCCAATTAAGGAATGGGTATACAAAGGAGCTTTCCCTTCAACACCACACGTAAGCATGTTGCAATACACAGAAACATTAGATGTATCACACACAACATACTTTATCTTCCATATAGACATTGTTGCAAAGTTGTCGTACAGAAGGTTCATAATGACCTTCCTTTTCGTCCTGATAAAAGCCTCCTTTCAAGGCTCATTTTACTCATTAACTTTTCTATATGCTATTGACCCTGATATCATTTTACAAAACCATTAGACTGTTACAGGCCTCTAATGCTGGTATTTCTGGGCTCACAGTTTTGTACTTGACGAAACTATATTGCTTTGGGTATTCTACATCTACCATTATGTCTAATGACAAAGATCTCATTGATTTTGATGGATTCACTCCTTGTAAATTGCTGCATTTTACCTTGAAAATCCTCTCTCTGGATGCTTCAAGAATTGAAATGTATCAGGATGCATTGTTGTATTCTAGAATCCCTTAACACATAGAAGGGCCACAGTATCATTTAGATTTAGGGGAAATATTCTGGTGTGAATGTTGTTCAAGATATCTAGGCCTTTCAGTTTATTTTCATATTGCAAAATAATGTCAGTTCATCACATCTGCAAATCAAATCTGTCATGTTCAAAGCATAATTGACCCCAGAGTAATCAATGTCATTAAGTAAATTCAAAATTGCCTTTAAAATAAAATTAATATTTTAAGTATTCAGATTTGTTATTTTCTAATCATCTTAATTAGTGATATTAGTTCAATATCACATATTGGTTAATGTTCCTAAATATGTAATGAATAAACACATTATCTACTGTCATGCCAACAGAAGACCTGCATGTTCTATGAATTGATCTTTAATATCCCCTTCAGTCTTGGGGACAACTTAATGCCTCTGGTACTGGGTCCAGTCAACCCAACCTTCAATGTCAAATTGCACATTTAAGCAGTCCATCTGGATTATGATACAGTGGTACCTTGGGTTACAGACGCTTCAGGTTGCAGACTCCACTAACCCAGAAATAGTACCTCAGGTTAAGAACTTTACTTCAGGATGAGAACAGAAATTGTGCGGCTGTGGCGTGGCGACAGCGGGAGGCTCCATTAGCTAAAGTGCTACCTCAGGTTAAGAACTGTTTCAGGTTAAGAACGGACCTCCAGAATGAATTAAGTTCTTAACCCGAGGCACCACTGTAGTTTTGCTGCCCAAGCAGTATGCAAAAACGTTGCTTCTAGTACATGTTTGGGGTGATCTTTGGTGCACCAACCACAATACTTGATCTCATTGATGAATTCTAATGGGGCGCAGTCTTCAGTCGATTCAATACTAAAATCCAAGCCCAAGTTTTAAAAGGGCATCCTAGTCAGTTATTTGTGTGGTCTCAATTTTCATGTTCCCCCTTCTATATCTATATATGTAGCTTCCCTCCCCTTCCCTTAAACTGTATGCTTTAGAGGAGCTGCCTTTCAGATCCTTCGCCTTCACTCAGATCTGACAAAAAAACACAAAATCAGCCTTCCACAGAAGGAAGATAGGGCACAGAAGGAGAAAGCTATCTCTTTGTCCATAAACCAGTGCTCACATGTCCCTTTAGGGCTTAAGCAGCAGCAAGAGCCACAACGTTTGAAGTTGATTCACAGAATCTGTTTCTACAGACTGTGCATCTCAAAGTGAGAAGTGGTCTGATAGCATGGATGTAACTATTGTGCCCTTTCTGGTTATGTAAAAACAGCGAAGACCACGTACCCTCAGGACCAGGGGAGAGAATTTAACTATCTCTCCTGCTGCCAAAGAGAAAATCGCATCTATGAAGGGCCTCCTTTTCCCCTCCATAATTCCCTCTGACCAGCTCCTCTTTGGTCAATGGAGGCATAGAAGACACTGAACAATAACAGTTCCAACATCCGGTTTTGAGTCTCATCCCATCAGCGATGTACAGGGTGGATGGGAATGTGCCATCCTCAGCAGCATTGCGTCCTTTGCTGGCGTCCAGGGCATGTGTGCACCAGGTGGGAGCAGGGGTGGAGCGCAGAGGGTGAACTGTTAAAACTTTGAAGCCAGTGAACTTTTGAAGTGCTTTCACCTGTTGCACAACTTAGCAGAGTATAGCAGAGTACTGCAGCGTTTCTTAGGCAACTCTTGAGATTGCCCAGTCAGGACGACGATCAGGAACAAAGACTGATGACTAGTAACTTGATTCTTGTAGATTATTATATACAGCTGTAAATATACAAGTCTATCTACAAGTTACTATTTATAAAACGACCTCTTCACTCTCAGCAACTCCTCAACACTAACCAACTCAACACTCACCAACAACCAGTGTCATAGGTCATGCTGTCTATATGAGGGACCTCAGCCAATCACTGAGCTGCTGCTGGGTCTCCTTATCTCTAGGCAGATTCCTTTCATGCTCTGTCTTCCCAGGCTGCTGTGGAGACACTAATTGCTAACTTGCAAAGCTGCACGTAGACCATGGATTCCAACATGAACAAAACCTGCCTTGCCAGTCCAGCCCTTGTCACAGAGGCCACTGGTTGGGCATGGGGCACAGAGAGTTCACAGGACCACACCGTGTTTCCTGCCTGCCTAGGCAGGGGGGAACCCAGCCGGCCAACGTGCCCCTTGGCGGGCACATCCTTCCAACATGGGTTGGACGGCCATTCAGTGAGGGGGGCGAGGGGGCCAGGCAAGGCTGGCCCCTGTGGCAGGCAGTGCGGGACAGGGATCTCTGCATAGAGGTGCCTGGCTTGTGCCCCCTCAAAATCATGCACCCAGGGCTATAGCCCCCCTGGCCCTCACTACACCATGTCCTCTGGACCTACTATAGGCAGCGGCGTAGCGTGGGTTGCCAGCACCCAGGGCAAGGCAAGTAATTTGCACCCCCTAACCCAGGGCAAGGCAAGTAATTTGCGCCCCCTAACCCCTAACCTGCCGCCGCTGCCAGCTTCTTCTTGCTGCTGCCTGGTCTGGTCTGGTGTGGTTCTCTCTCGCGCTCAGCACTGCGCTGGGCAGCTGCTGCACTGTCCCTCCCCCAGATAGTTCCTCGCTCTCTCTCCGCACCACACGCCTGGCACCCACCCCCTCCACAGTGGGCGGCGACCCAGCGGCTCGGATCGGATTCACACAGCCAGCACTGCAGTGAGAGAGAGTGAGTGAGCCAGGTAGGGGCAGAGAGCTGTGAGTGCGAGCGCGCCCCCCCCAGATGTTGCGCCCGGTGCGGCCGGCCCCCCCTGCACCCCCCACGCTACGCCACTGACTATAGGATGCTGTTGTATACTGAATCAGGCCATTATTGTCTACCCTGACGGATAATGGCTCTCTGGGGTTTTAGGCAGAGATGCTAGGGACTGAACTCGGGACCTTCTGTATGCAAAGCAGATGCTCTACCACTGAGCTACCCTGGGGGTATAGACAACTGTGAACAGCTGCACACTAGGGTTTTTGAAAAGTGAAAATCTGGAAACAAAAGTTGTTGAGCTTGTTGCCATACACCCGGATTTGTCAGTTTGCATTTCTTGGCGGAGAAAGTATTGATCTGAGGTGTAGGGATCTTTCCTCTTCTAATTAATTCAAGAAGGTTCTGGAAGCTTCTGTGTGTGAAAGAAACAAGCAGAAGGTTCGTGATGTTTGGGTTATTCCTTCAGAGAAGCTGAATTGCAGCTGGCTTAAAGTGGTTCTGTTATCTCTTCAGTCAAGCTCATGATGACTATAAAAGTAAGGCCAGAAGGAGCCTAGGTTTTACTTTCTCTTTCTTTCTCTTTTCCTCCTGGTGTGGTGATCTGTACATAGTATGGTATAATGTTAAAGTTTAGACTTATAATAAGTTATTGTAAGTTTAAGTTAAGTCTGCAGCAACTGGATTTCTTATGGATAGTGCCAATCCCGAATGTATTGGATTTGTGACCATTATGCTCATTTGCCTTCCATAGCAGTAAAGCTCTGCTGGATGAAATATTTATTTCCTCTGGTCTATTTTTTGGGACGGCGGTTCGAATCCCCGCGAAGGGGTGAGCTCCCTTTGCTCAGTCCCAGCTCCTGCCAACCTAGCAGTTCGAAAGCACATCAAAGTGCAAGTAGATAAATAGGTACCGCTCCGGTGGGAAGGTAAATGGCGTTTCCGTGTGCTGCTCTGGTTCGCCAGAAGCAGCTTAGTCATGCTGGCCACATGACCCGGAAGCTGTACGCCGGCTCCCTCGGCCAATAAAGCGAGATGACTGCCGCAACCCCAGAGTCGGCCACAACTGGACCTAATGGTCAAGGGTCCCTTTACCTTTACCTTTTACAATGTGTTTAAGTTTTTACTCTGCTAACTATACGCTGGAATCTGCTCTGGGTCAATATTGAGTAGAATTCAATGACAGGATTTTGCAGGACATTTCAGCCATTTCTGCCCGGACACTCTTTACAACTGCCATATTCTGTCTGGGAAATTCTGGACGAATTTCTGCACACACTAGTTGCACATTCCTGGCCATGTGCAATACTCTGAGTTGTAGGATTTTCTCTCCTCCCTGTATTAGGCTGGTTGTTTATAAAGGAAGAGATAGGGAGCCTTCTTAAGGGAGCAGACCTTGTCACAATAATTCTTTGAATATGTTAGAGTTGATTGACCACAAGGGGTCTCCCTTGCTTCAATTTTGTGCCAGCGTTACACAGAGAGGCGCATGGGGCTCCTGTGTGATATAATTTTCTATGGAAGCATTCAGTATACTATATGGGAGTAGAGAGGGAAAAGAGAGAGAAAAAGATATATTAGAAAGTACAATGCTGAAAGCAAAAAGGTAGGTCATTCTAACCCAGTAGGAAGCATAGCCTGATCATTTGATGGAGAATCTCATTTACCTTGCCAAATAAACTGGCACATAATGTCAGCTTGCCATGTAGCTCTTGCATCTGATTCACAGGTCTACAACTAATAAGAAATAAAGCTCCTGTGACTATCATTAACCCTCCCCTCCCCACAATTGTTCCAGCCTTTTAGAAAATGCTTCTTTGCATCCTGTGATTAATTTCTTCCCCTGGTAAACAACTATAAAATATAGCAACGGAAATAAGCTCCCTCCCCGATCATCTGAGCAAGACTCTGAAGCCAGCTTATTGTGACTTTTTGAGGTGGTGGTGGGGGGGAGAGGTGTCTGAAAAGCTGTAAAGACATTGCACAAAGGGGACAAACTGTTCCACTTTGGGGGGACTCTGTGGAAAGCTTGCAGTGTTTCAGAACCAATAACTATGCAATGGGGAAAGGGAGGGATTATCTTCTAGGCCTTTTCTGGGATCCTGAGAGGATTTTTCTTATTTTTGGTACATTTAAAAAATAGATTTGAAACACACTTACACAAAGCAATGAGAGAATCAATTTTTTAAAGAGTACAGACTGTCCAGGGACAGGACAGTCTCTGATTTAGAAAAACTGTCCCAGTATCTATTTTGATCCTGGAATGTCCTGTTCTTCCTTAGGAAATCTCTATTTTCATTGGAGAAATGTTGGAGAGTATGGAGTTATCCGACCCCTGAGCTGTCTGAAGGCAGCCCTGTATAGGGAAGTTTTTTAAATGTTTAATGTTTTATTATGTTTTTATATATGTTGGAAGTGGCCCAGAGTGGTTGGGGCAACCCAGTCAGATAGGCAGGGTATAAATAGTAAAATTATTATTATGGAATGGGGTGTCCCTATTTTCAATGGAGAAAAGTTGGAGGGTGTGAGAGTACTGATTTTACAAAGGTACAAGAAAGGGATGAATAAGATCACAATGCATGGAATACATCATTTCAAAGATGTCTCACCACTGAAACTTCTGAAAATGTCCCCCATAATGTTCCAGATATGTTGTTGCTGTTGTTGTTGCTGTTGTTGTTGTTTAGTCATTTAGTCGTGTCCGACTCTTCGTGACCCCATGGACCAGAGCACGCCAGGCACTCCTGTCTTCCACTGCCTCCCGCAGTTTGGTCAAACTCATGCTGGTAGCTTTGAGAACACTGTCCAACCATCTCGTCCTCCATCGTCCCCTTCTCCTTGTGCCCTCCATCTTTCCCAACCTCAGGGTCTTTTCCAGGGAGTCTTCTCTTCTCATGAGGTGGCCAAAGTATTGGAGCCTCAGCTTCACGATCTGTCCTTCCAGTGAGCACTCAGGGCTGATTTCCTTAAGAATGGATACGTTTGATCTTCTTGCAGTCCATGGGACTCTCAAGAGTCTCCTCCAGCACCATAATTCAAAAGCATCAATTCTTCGGTGATCAGCCTTCTTTATGGTCCAGCTCTCACTTCCATACATCACTACTGGGAAAACCCTAGCTTTAACTATTCAGCAACAGAAGAAGTTAAAGGTAAGAAGGAAACATCAAGCGGAAGTCGAGAGAGAGAAAAGTTCTGTACTGTCAAAGGCTTATTATAAGCTACTTATGGTTACTCATATGTATAGACATACTGTGTATTGGCCTCTGTCTGTCTTGAAACACAATGGACGAGTGTCCCATTGGGGGTGAAGTCATTTCAAACCATCCTACTCCAGAAAGTGGGGTGTACTCTTGTTACAAACACTGCTTTCTCCATACCATTTTTACAGCATAGCCCAATGCACACCTATTCGGAATCAAGCCCATTTAGTTCAACAGGGCCTGATCCCAAATAGAATTGGAGCATTAAACTTGGAATGGGGGGGGGGGGGGCAGATGACAGGGGCAAAATCTGGCCAGAGAGCTGCAGCTGCTGATCTTTATAGTATACTGTATGACAAACTACTGAAATACAGATTCATAGTTACTGGTAAAGACACGTAAGGTAAAGACATGCATACTGAAATCAGTTCACTTTGCACATGGTGTGTGTTGTGGGGATCTCTGTGCAACACAACAGCTTCCCCTAAGACAACAGACCCCTCAAGTGTCCCTATTTTCCAGGGACAGTCCTGGATTTGCAGACGCTGTCCTAGCTTTTTCTTTGATCCGAGAATGCCCTGCTTTTCCTTAGGACATCCCTATTTTCAATGGAGAAATGTTGGAGGGGGCATCTCTATCTTCATCAGAGAAATGTTGGCAGGTATGGAATTTTCATCGGAGAAATGTCCGAGGGTATGAGACAAGCTGTTGTTTAGAATATTGGGGAGATTTTTCAGGCAAGTATCAACAGGGGGTGGGGGAGGAAAGAAAATTTTGCACATGTATTGTTTTTATTGTAAGTCAGTATGTAGATTCTAGAAAATTGTATGTAAAACCTTATCAGGCCTCGTACAAACAAGCATCCCCTGTGACAGTAGGAGCTTAGAGAATGGATTTGTCTGAGAACAAAGGCCCCATGCCAGTTGATCCTGGCACAGTTTGAAAGAGGAAGCTTATAAACACACTCGGAAAAGCTGCCAGGGAAATGGTCTTTCAGCAGCTGAATTTCAGATTTTCCGTTACAATAGCAATAGAGCCCAAGCGACCTCTCTAGGAATGCTCCAAGTAAGATGTATGTGTTTGTATGTACATGCATTGCTTAGTAGGATACTCCATCAGGATTTGAATGCCTTTCTCTAAAGTACTGAGGACAGGATACAGACAAGGGGAACTGGACTTGCTTGTACTCCTTTGGAAGGTCCATTTTTCACCTCCCTCTTGAAAGCAGAGGTGCCAATTTAGAAATAACTATGATAATTCAAATACAGTGGTACCTCTGGTTACGAACTTAATTTGTTTCAGAGGTCCGTTCTTAACCTGAAACCATTCTTAACCTGAGGTACCACTTTAGCTAATGGGGCCTCCCGTGCCGCTGCAAGATTTCTGTTCTCATCCTGAGGTAAAGTTCTTAACCCAAGGTACTACTTCCGGGTTAGCGGAGTCTGTAACCTGAGGTGTTTGCAACCCGAGGTACCCCTGTAGAAATACAATCCATACTGGGAAAGACTCTGACCAGATGACCTGTGTGCCTGCTTGGTCTGTTCTCCAGGGGTTAACTTTAATAATAATAATAATAATAATAATAATAATAATAATAATACTTTATTGCTTGAACCCCACCCATCTGGCTGCGTTTCCCCAGCCCCTCTGGGTGGCTCCCAACAGAATATTAAAAACACGATAAAACTTGTGGTATGAATGCACTAGGTACAATATACAAAATCATTTTGGACTGCCCTCTCTTCAACATCTTTGGAGAGACCTATGGGCAACTCCTTGGAAGCTTAAAGTATCTACTTGCAAAGAATTTGTATTCTGTTGAGGAATGATATATCTGAAACTCCTGAGATTGTTTCAGGATATTTACTTGAGGTTTTTGCTGTCAAATTTAAAACTACTTAATTTTACTTAATGGTGGCTACTAAGTCTTTTATACATGTGAGGTTACAAGGAACCAGGCGGAGAGGGCCTTCTCGGTAGTGGCGCCCGCCCTGTGGAACACCCTCCCATCAGATGTCAAGGAAAT